ATGACCACAGAATAGTGTCAACATATTTGACATGCATTCATTTAGTTTTAACCACACTTGCAAGGATTTAGAGATTAGCAAACCAGGACAGAGATTAAGTGACTTGTCTCCACTTTGGTTTATTTTTGATTTATTTTGGCTATTTCATCATACAAAATGTAAGCATTAAAAGAAAAAACATAAATGACACATACAGACAAACAGGCTGCAAGTAGAAAAAATGCTAATCAAGAAATGCTTGAAGAGCCAATGTTTCTTGGCAGGCACAAGTTATATCAGAGCACCATGGTACTCCCATTTTTTGAGCTACCTAAAACATTTAACTTTAGGAAACCAGATTGAGAGTCAAGAATGAAATCTATCTGTGACAACAAATCCTCCCACTACTCTATTCTTTTATGGAAAATGCATCATTTCTGGTTTTCAAGAAGAGAAGAAAAAAGGTTATTAGGCGAGACAGAATTACCATGAAGTCTTCTGCTCATCTTCTCACCCTATGTAGTAGCTGCGACACAAACTCCCACTTTAACATCTGTACATCCCTGATTCTAAACTAAATAAAACCAGTTTCTTCTAAAGACTTATCATTATTTCAGGCTAAAAACTATCCCCATGATATTAGTGAAACTGTCCAAACTGATCTTACAGAATAATACCGCAGAGCAATTTTTTTTTTATTCCTCTAAAGCTGTACACACAGTTTTGTCTTTCTTTCCTCCAATACAATAGGCATTTTTATTCATAAAACAGTTAAAAAATAGAACAGCAAGCAACATCCAATCAAGTAGTGGATGAATTACAAAAAGATTGCTTTGCTCTCTCAAACTTCATGATTTTGTCACTTTAGTTCTTGCTGTCAAGTATCAGCAATACAGACAAGAACGCCATAAATCTAATTACTTCTAAGACTACTTTCCTAACCATTTTTCCTGTGCTCCAGGACTACTGCATAAAACAGGATAAAACTTAAGGAAATCTTATATAAAAACACTTTTTGTTCTTTTTTTTTTTCATTGTTGTTTTCTTTAAGTGCCTAACTCAATATCTACAAAATATCTCCTTTAGAATTTGGCATTCCCAAATCAGCTTCTGAAATAGGATTCAGCAGCTTCTAGCTTCTGCTTTAAGAATTCCTCTACTGGCTTCCATTCTTCTACTCCCACTATCTCTTCCCATTTCCACTGAAGAACTTTTGGTAATATCATTCAGATACACACCGTCTGCAATCAACTTTGCGCTGAGCATCACAGGCTTCTGCCAAGATATCAGCCACTTAAATGCAGTCAGCACATGTAACAAGCTGGAGCTCAAGTCAAATAAATTTCTGAATTTTGCAACATTTCATTTTCACAACATATAATTCAACAACAGAAGGACAGGGGCACTCTGACAATTCCTCGAGTGCAAGATATTATATTGCTGCAGATTATAACTCCCTGTGCATCACAAAAGCCATAACAAATTTAATCTTGTCTATTAAAAAAAAAGATCAAGTACTGATCTCATAAATTGCCATTTTAGGCATATAAAGAGAAAAGCCCTGATTTCTCTCACTAATGCGATTTTTGGTAGAAGTGCTACTGTATCTATTATAACCTTCAATATTGAATCATTAACTTGCACCATGATCTACATATTAAATTATTCCTGGATGTTTCTACTAGTGCTTCAAGTTATTTAATGACAACTTATTACCCTCAATTCAATTTATAACAGACGCACTTACATGAAATCTAAAACTTTCAAAGATTAACAATGTTTTCATACTAGTTCCCAATATCATCAGGCAAAGACAAACAAGGCAAACAAGCTGGTTCTACAGAAGGTTTCTTTAAGTAAAATTATAGAAATAACAGACCAACCGTGGGTCTTGATCTTGTATGGAAAAATGCGGTAAAGCACCAAATAGGAGAACAAGGCAATTCCATAGGGAAGACGCACCTCAAGTTCACAAAATTAACTTGCTTTGTTTGGACTTGTTTTGATGGAAAGTTAGGGTGGGTAATAAACTTGAGAATGAACTTTTTAGCCCAGGATGATATTCTGTTTTGCTAGTAGTCCCACCATGAATAGAGGTCACTCCAAAAAAAGTTTTTAACATCCAAACTTATTTACATAAACTGACCAAAAATACAAAAGCAGTGCATTAGCAAACAGCTCCATACATATTCAGAGTTAAAAAATATACACTTTATTATAGATGCCATAAAACATTTATTTTCCGACATTCATTAAAGTGTGCAATTGCAACACACTTTGCTATTTACATCTCCATGCTGTTTGCCATTTAACAACCCCAGCTGCCTAAGTTTCACTATGTAGTGTAGTTTCTGCCTGTATCAACCAAAACATTTACAAAACCCAAACTTGGACATAGTTTAAACCCAGGGTCCACAGAGGTTTCCTAACATGGCTTTGCCAAACAATACAGAAATAATTAAAGACGAAATAACGGTCAAAATCCCTACTTAGCTATGAGGCTTCACACTGGCTCATCAATCCTGTCCATCCCAATAGTTCCTTAGGCTTGAATTACAAGATGAGAGAAGCTCAACTGCCTTGCAGGTTGAAAGTATTTTCTACTCCACATCTCACCAGCCTCCCAGACTTGCCAGTATCTCCCACAACAGCAGGAGACTGGCCTCCTGCCCACCCGACTAGTGCATAAATGAAAAGACAACCCCTTCAGAAGCAAGATTTTTGATCCTCGATCATTTTACTGGCATGGTGTGAAGAGATGATGCACGCAGTTCACAGACCAGAACTGCTCCTGAGGCCCCTGTACTTTGAAATTGCAGCATTATATCTGAGTCTTGTATCTGCTTATGACAAATTCTATAACCAGCCTTCAGCTAACAAGTAATGAGTGCAACAATGTAACAGAGAGGCTGCAGAGGTGGAGGAATCAAGACATGAATCCATGGAAGACAGAGGACTAGTACTTATGCCTCAAACTGAGCATGCAACCTATAAGGACACCAGAAAGTTTTCAGCTTTTTTTTGGTTCATGGAAACAAAACACCACCACCAAAAACCCACTCCTTTCTTTAGCTTTCTTCTGTATTTCTCCTTAGAGGGAGAATGCAGGGAAAAATGGCCCACCAACTGTAGGAACATGTAACTGCTGCAACCTATAATTCCTTTCCCACAGTCTGTAATAGCTCCTGGTGACTTAAACCTGACCATCTGTCATATCACCCATTTTGTATCAGAGCTGTAAGACTCAAATAGAAGTCTGCAGATTGGAAAATTTCCAGAGCACAAAGCACAACAGAAGCTGTAAAAGAATTTCCAACTAGATAAATCAGGAAGTATTTTTCCTTTTAAAAAAATGATGTAGTTTCTCAAAATAAACTGTGCAGCTTCAGCTGCACTGTAGCACAGCTTTAGCATTCAAAAAAAAAAATTTTTTTTGTCCAAAACGCATTTCAAATCAGGTGACAAATGGACTGTCAGAGATTCACAGGTCATCTTTGTCATTGTACAACAAGCAAGCAGTTTCCTGGAGTTAGGCTCATGGAGTTAGAAAATCTTAAGTTTCTAAAATTTTTGCTGTCAAGTTATGACAGCAGCAAGAAAACCCATTATAGTGGCACCCAGCAGTGTTACTGTGGCTTAGAGCTTGCTGGTGTTTCCATTACAAATGCCATCTAATCAAGTCTCCCTTTCTTCCTTTCTATGGCATTTTGGTCTGAAAGTTGGCCAACAATGTCTGCCTGGACAAAGAGAAATCCTCCCCCCTCTTCACTTTTTTTTAAAAAAAAAAAAGTGTACATTATTGTGATGACTTCTAAACATTTTTTTTTCCTTCTTTCAAATGGCAACTTTTAAATTCAACCCCACAAAAGCTCTTCTTTTCTAGCCAATATTTCACAAAAGGTCTGAAAATAAGAATTAACTGCCCTGAAAGCAGAGTTCTCCCATCTGCCTAATGCACATTTATTGCATAGCATTTGACTGGCACCACAACCATTAATTTCAATGCCATTGTAGAAGCAACTTAAGGTACTGTTTGGGCTAAAAAAAAAAAAAAAGGGGGAGGAAGCCTGAATTTAACCTTCTGCTTGTAAACAACCATGAGCAAATACTTGAGCAACACACAGAGAAGCAACCCAGTGCTACTGGAGTGGTATCTCCTACAGATACCAACAAGAAGAAACTATTACACTATTAGAAACTCTTACAAAGAAACTATTTTGAAAACAAAAAATTACCATAGAAGAACAGATTTAGGTATGGTTTTAGGTTATACCTGATTAAATGACACTGCAGAAAATGGAGGCAATACCTATTTAAACTTCAAAGGTGCATAAAAAAATGTTAAGAAATGGTGTGCCCACATTCAGTTTTCCATAGAATTTGTTTCTTCGATGTATTTCAAGTCATATATCAAAAAAAAAAAAAAACCATAATAGCTACTTGGTAAGAGTAACACTTTTAGTTGGTCGGAAAATAAAAGGATTTTATTTAGTCTGTTATTTTGCTGTAGCTTAGTCATCTAATCTGGTAGGCATGAAACTTGACATCCTTTTCCCTCAGCTTTCTCATGCATATTATGCTCCTAAACAAAAGCACAGACCACAAAATAAGCACACCAAGAACTGAAGTAGACCAAACACAAGTTGCAGTACAACAATCTTAGACATCTTACGCCTAAACTATGTCCCTGTATCTGTCCCATCATAGTCCCACCCACTGATGTTAACATGGAGTATTCAGTTCAGTATCCTAATTATTCTGCAGAATTCTCACTTTGCCATGAGCAAACACCATAAGCAACTGCATCCGAACTGAAATACTCATGATTTAGACTTTTTAGTCAAACTCAGAGATAATTAAGTTTGTAACAAGAGCTACACATGACAAGAAGGTTCCCTAAAAGGATTATTGCACATGATGTAATGTATACAGTAATCAGTTTAGTCTGATCATAAGAGAAGGATTAGGCAGGGAGGCAGAGAAGAGAGAAAGACTCCATTATGAGATTAAACTGAACTTACTTGTTGAATTGCCTTGCATCTGGATGATACATTTTGATTCTTTGCTGGTCTCTCGAGAATTGAAGGGCCGGACCCGAACAGCCACCTTCACCGAAGCCCCCGACATTCTGATCGCTTGCAGTGCAGTCAACAAATTAAAATTGAATGGGATAGGGTTTTCAAGTTTGCCTTCTTCTTGGCGTTTTCTAATGAAGAAAAAGATATAACTTGATTATTCACTGCTAATGTGTTTAAGATGCTAAAAAAAATGGGACGGTACAAAGTCGTACAATCACATCATTCCTCTCAGCGTGCCCACCTGCCACCCCTTCAACAAGCTGCCACTTCAAAGACAGAACTGGAAATATATCTATCAGCACCTGTACTCCGTCTCCCTTGTCAGAAGTTTCTGTCTTTTGAAACAGCTCTTTTGAAGTATACAAATAGGTTTGTTTTCATTACTAGGTTTCTTCCCAGAAAGCAGAGAAGCTAATATTAAAATGAAGATCTGGTTGCAACATGTGTCAAGCTTAACCTAACAAAGATAATTTTAGCCGTAAAGATACGGCTGCTTATACGTCAACATAAGCAAGCTACTACACTTAGGTTCTCTAGTTTTCAACTTTTGCTAATTTTGCTAATGTGGTAGTGCATTAGCAATAACAGCGTAAGTAAAGTAGAAGTGTAGTCCCCTTCCACAAAAAGCACTGCTATGCAGCAACTGTAGGAAACATTTGTGCTTCTGGGAAGCGCCTATTCTCAAACAGAGATATAACCCACTAACTACTTGCATACATAGTAATCTTTAAAGATCACAGTACTCCTTACGGAGGAAGAGGTATCAAGAACATTGCCTTCAGGGTGCATATTACTCTATCTTCTGCAAGTGTTCACCACTGATTGCATTTTCAAGTTACTATCAAAATACTTGTCCAAATCCTAACACATCCAAATGATGGAGCACTGTAGTTGGCAGGGAACTATCCATGACATCCAGGACATTTGTCAAGCCATGTCTATTTGCCATTGTACTGAAACGTAGGAATAAAAGATTGGTTCAGTTATATTGATTCTTATTTTCCCTGAACAACCTTTCCATAGGAAGATCATTTTTCAACAAGCCTATAATTAAGCTGTTTACCTCACTACCATAGGATGCTCTCAGTCCTGAAGTTCAACATGGATTCAAAAAGCCACCAAAACCAGAGAAAAAAAGCACTGAGAGTTAATAAAAGCAAAGATACCAAAACTTATCTCAAGAACTTTCCAAGACACTGGTTCTCAGAAACTGGAAGTCTATACTGACAAAAAAAAACCACTATAGGGTTCCTTTATTCTTGTATTCTAAATTTCTGCTGCTGACCACTGCTAAAGCCGGAATTCTGGGCTAGATGAATCTTTGGTCAGACTCAATGCAGTCATTTCTATGTCCAATCCAAGATACGGGCAGACCTCTACCTTGCCCGAGTCAGTTACATGACCTTGAAAGCCCAAGAACCTTTCTTTTTATGGTTAACTATATGCCACACAGCCAATGAAATGCTTGTTTCAGGGTTATAATCATAATGTTGCTAGATCACAGAACGTACTGCAGAGATAAAACAGAAGCACTTCAACTCTATAGCAAGTTCTCTAGCTGCTAAAGATACTTGGGCATTCTTCATTCAAATCATGACACATTTTCACACACTACAGAAAGTTTTAATAAAACTTCATTACTTCATTTATGACATCACATGATGAAGGTGGAAATTAAATCATTCTGTAGAGTGTGAGAATGAATTTAAAGCATTCCTTATTTTAATAGGTTACTGAGCTATCTTGTTAGGCCGTTAGAATAGGAATGTCTTTAGGAATAGAAACAAGACAATTGAATTTCAATGTCAGTGATACAGCAAACCACTTAAAAAAAAAATAATCAGGAGATCCATACAGCCAACTAAATACTCAACTGTTATTAGTATGGTGTTTTAAGAAGTCCCACTAAAGTTCAAGTACAGACCAGAAACACAGAGTAACTTAGAAAGGAGACTTAAAAATATATATTAATCCACTGATACGTACATTAATGAATTGAGGACTTTTAATGCTCTTTAATGGGAAGGAGCGATAATACCAGTGATGAAAGATGAACTTCTTCCCTGCAAAACCTAGCTCAAGTAGGCATGTTTTGTGTTGTCTAAAGCTAGTATACAAATCATAATAAAGAAGTGATCAATGCTAACTTATATCTTACTATTTTTTAATCCTTCAGACTGCCAGAAGCAATGGCGAAGAGAGTGAAAAACAACAACCACCACCTAATATCAGAACAGGATTCATTAGCCTTTACTGAAAGATCTAAGGCTAAATGAGCTTATGGTCAGTGACCTGTCAGTGAAAAACCTCACAACAAAAGTACTTTTACAAAATGCTATCCACTCTTTAATCAAACAACAGGTAAATAACATAATTATTATGCTATCCAATGAAGTGTCCTCTAAAAGCACCGTAAGCAACCTGAATATGTATTGTCACTTCAATTACCAAAATCATTTTCCAAAGCACACAACAAAGTAGGGGAAAGTAGTCTCACAAGTATACACCCTACTCATAATAAAGAGGCAGCTGAGTTTAATATGCACCAGCTAAACAGGAACTTCTGTTCTGAAGATAGTGGTTAAAAAATCTCATTGAACAGGATCACAAAATCAACTGCATCAGCATCAAAAAAGCTCTCATTGACAGTCTTTGAGAAATACAAACTTTATCCAACACTTTTTAAAGTCAGCACTGCCTTCATTATGCAGAGTGACAAAAGGCAAAACGAGATCAAGATAAATACATAAAGTATGACAGAAATTAGTAATAAATTGCAACTAGTTATCCAGGTAGTTTCACATATCCCAGTAGGATCTGTTACTGATGCAAACATTGTCTACGCAGTGGTAATAGGAGATCTAACTTGCAACAGCAAAACAAAATCTGTTACAGTCTTTGATGCAGATTTAGGAGAACAAGCTTAAAAGATGAGGCCCTTCATATATTTGTCACAAGTTTAGAAGGCCACCATTCATTCTGGAATGCCCCATTCTCTTAATGTCTTGGAAAGAGTCTACTAACTCTGCAGCTTTTAACATTTCTCCTGTACAAATCCAATCAAGAACCAAGTCAGGGAAAGAACTGCATATTTGTGTCCTTAGCCTTGGTTCTAAAACTGGATGCAAACAATACCTGAGCATTTAGTCAGCTCTTTATCAGTGCAAAAGCAAACCCTACACGTTTGAGAGGAGACAGCATTCTCTTCATCTTTTTTAACCTATTATTAAAAGATATTTGCCTCCTGCTCTATGAGTTTCACACTGAGGTTATAATATCAAAATGTGTCATCAATCGAATCATCTAAATATCTTGTCTGTTTTCTGCTATTCAAGTTGACAAATAGACGATTCCCCTTCATGGATCTCAAGCACTGGAAGTTTGATTTGAATTTCACACAAAAATATTTAAAAAACAGTTTTTCCTTAAGATTTTGATTCTAAAACTTCTATAGATCTAAAAGTTTTGACAAGTCAGTTTTATGCAACACCAAAATACAAAAGCTGCTGCTCATATCTGAAACAAAGCTAATGGACAAGTAAAGATTTAAGGAGCCAGATTAGTATTAATTACTTCAGACAAGCTAATAGCAAACTCAAAATGATTACAAAATGCAGCCCAGAGTCTAGATCTCTACGTTCAAACGAAAACCCATCACAAAAGAAGCAGCACTTGCATTCCACACAGCTGGCCATTGTGTCATATTTGTACAGGAAACAAAGAATACAGTATGTCTTCCAGAGAATGTGCTAACTTTTAAAAACAAAAACCATGCTTCCTACACTTGTAATTTAATCACTACACCAGCTCTAAAGAAAGAGAAGGAAGAAACACGGAGATTAGTCTATGGAAAGTTATCATCAAAACAGCTGTTCAGACCCACAGGGGTTTATGAACGAGGTGACTGCAGGGAATCCAATTTTAGGTCTGCTACGAAGGATCAGGTGTTGGAGACACTCTGCAGTATCAGCTGAACTCACACACTGCAAATTGCTATATTTGTACTTTAAAGCAAAGATGCTAGATAAAATACTGAGTGTGGATGCTGAAAATACGTAAGAACTGAAAACCAGACCATATAAACAAATGGCTGCAAATAATTTAACAACTAAAAGGACAAAAAGAACCGAACTGAGGAGCTGGAGGCAAAATAAAGAACGTTCTAAAAATGAGCATGACCAGCGTTCGATTCCCCATTTTGGGGGACGGTGGCAGATCCCCCGTGCGCAGCTGACAAACGCTGGGCAGCGGGGCTGCCGCGGCGCCGGGATTGTCAGATCATCATCCCAACATGGCTGCCTCGGCGGCGGGGCGCCACGGAATCCCGGCACCTCGCGGGCCGAAAGGCACAGCCGGGAAGGAAGGGAGGGGAGGAAAGAAAGAAATCAACGCGCAGGGTTTTCGGCTTCGTGCGCCCGTCCCCAGCTGGCACCGAGGGGCCGCGCCGCCTCCCGACCCAGCCCTTATCGCCTCCCCCACCACCGCCTGGCACGGGGCGGAGGG